CAGCGCGCGTTCGCAACCATTATTACATTATTGTCGCCTTTCATTAGGCTTTCACTCATTTATTGCATTATTTTTATTGCAAACAAATCTAATCATCGATACTATCGAAGCGACAGATCTATCGATCTCTCTCTCAGATCATGCCTTCGACGCCTCTCGCGCTCCAAAACCTGAACGAAAACATGACTTTCGCTGACATTCAGACGGCGTTCGAAAAGACGGCGAAAAGCGTCGCGCGACCGCTCGTTGTTGTCCTCCCGAAACTCAAACTCGAGTCCGGTTAGAGTCACGTGATTGCGATTATAGCGACCAATGAGTGCTTTGTTTGTTTAGAACACGATTTGTTGGACTCTCTCTTCGCTGACCTCGACTTCAACGTGAAGGTTGACCTCTCGGCGGCCACGAAGTCGGCTACAGAGCAGCGCGTGAGCACCGCCTTCCAGAGGGCGAGTCTCGAGTTTGCGGAGACGAAAGGCGCGCCAAAGGAGGCGGAAGAGGAGGCGAAGGAAGAAGTGGTGATTTCGCGCCCCTTTCTGGCCGTCATTCGCGACGACGAGAGCGGCGAATGGCTGTCCGTCGCGCGCATACAGTCTTTGGTCGACGAAAGCGTCGTTTCTTTTCAATTCATTTAATTTCATTTAATCAATAAATTCGGGATTTTTTAAACACTTTTAATCTCTTCTCTCATTCGCCGAACACTGCGTCCAAAGCGCGAGTCTTTCGGAAGAAATCATTGTTTTTGAGCTCTAATTATCGCAAAAACCCTCTCATTGTTACTCACGAGCGCAGATGAGTCACGTGACGCCACTCTCCAGCCAATGAGAGCGCGAGAGGTTTTGTCGCAGAATTTCTCCTCTTTTTTGTGCAAAAAATAGAAATAATTTTCATTTCGTTTTCATTTGAATTCTTTTGAAAAACCTTTTGATTCGCAAAACATTTGCAAAGAGTCGGCGATTGGAAGCGCGCGCGCGAAGAAGTCGGCGCTCTCTCGGCCGCAGTCCTCGCGCACGACACGCGCGGAACACGTGTCGGCCGTCGAGAGCCCGCAACACGCGTCGAGAGCGCGCTTTTCGACGACAGACTTTTGAAGCGCTGTTTTGAGAGTTTGGAAACACTTTTGGTTTCGTTTCACGCGATTTGCGTTCAAACACTCCGCGCGAGAAAAGGTCTCATTTCGCGGGAAATCCGGAGAACAAAACCACGTGACTCTCGACCGCACCGATGACGTCATCCACGCCAACACTGGCGGAGAGAGCG